TATTAATTTCTGCGATAAATTCAAATTCAATGCTAATGAAAATAAATCCCACACCAATTGAAAGTGCTCTATGGCAGGGTTTATAGGTAGATTCAAGCGGCAACTGGATGGTAGAAAATGCTATGAACTCACCAGACATATATTCCGTGACAATGAAAAGGCATGGATGACCTCGAAAGAGATTCTCATAGACGTCTACTATTGGGAGAATATTTGGATGCTGAGAAGCCATAAACTGCAATTCGATCCCGCGTCGTGCCGTTGGAGTATCGGGTAAAATCTGATAAGGTTAATGGTGATCAAAGAGATAACAATTATTCTCAATTCGTCACTAAATCAACATCTAAATAATCGTTAATTGAGCAACATATTTTTGATGAAACGGTCTAAAATAACGGATGTATAATTATATCAGGGTGAACTGATTTTTGTAAGCTGAAGAGTGCTGCCGACAGTCCGGAACAATATCGTTTCGGGTCAAATAACAGTGTATGTGCAAATTTCCTTGAAAAAAAGATTGGTTCGAGAGGTAGAAAGGGTCAAGGTTTTCTTCATCTTAGGCGCAGCACTGCATGGATTTCGACATTCAAAAGTTTCATGATTCCACTCTGCAGACTCATGCATTTCTGATTGGAAACAACCTTTGCAATTGTTCATCGAGAGGGACGAAGTTGAAATATCGCGCCATCTACATTGCGCCTTAGGAACTATAACNNAAAATCGCCTGATATATTACCCGATGCTAAAAATAAATTGACTTAGCTGTTTTTCCTAATAATATGTTGGAGCGAAATTTTGTGCGGGTCGTTTTTTCCTAACGGTGTGTTTTGGGACCTCAAAAATTTCGATATTCGAAACAATTTCTTACTCTTTATAAACAGCGGAAACTTTGTTAATTGTTTATGAATGTATATTCATTGTTCATATTTGCGCACACTCTTCACGAAACGCTGAGAAAGTAATAACGAACCAACACCGCAAAAAACTCGAATAGCATCTTTGCTTTCTTACCTTCAACACAAAGTGTTCGCCACTACATCTCCTCTCTATTAACCTCACTGGCCCACTGGCACCCGCTCCAATAATCTGAAACATTTCACTCCATTTTGTCACTTTTCAAGAATCAGTAACCGTCTGACACTGGTTAGAAAGCAGTCCATAAGAGACTTGGTTTTAACAATGAAACTTAATTTCTTCAGATAGATCTGACACAAACTTTCTCGCTGATGAGGTTTAGCGGCATGAATCAGCTGTAGATACGTTTATGAGATGTTTTGAATCGGTGTGAAACCTTTTGAACTGATGGTAACACAATAGAAAACAGGAAAACTTACAATAGTGTATACATCTGTCGGTGAAAATTAATGTTTGGTAAATTTAATAGATCCGTTTCGAGGAGGTTTAAGTGACAGAAGTGGATCTTCACGAGAGGGAAACTTACACTATCTTCCTTAGGTATCACGTAGTCTTTTAAAATAGAATGACTGTGCAACGGTAACTTTCTAACTGGTAGATCGATGCGGGTTTTGCTCACTTCATATGCCTGAAATTGCGCGATCAATGAAGATTTTCTGTGACGGCTAAACAATTTCCAAGTCCTTGGAATGCATTATGGTGGAAGTACGGAATGTGCATCGACTCGATTTGTCATTCCAACGAATTCTAACACCAAAACTAGGAAAGTGAACCACTTTCGCTCGAGAAAACTCTTTGCAACTCGTTCTCAAATTTCAGTTTTACTCATTCAGTTATGGTTTATGAATGAGCACTTAACTGCAGGAGCAATATAAGAAGCAGCATTTTTGAAGAAAGATAACGAACGTTTGACGTTGAACGTGATACTAGTGAAAGACATTTCCCCATAAGCCGAGTTCGTGAAGACGACAAAAAATAACTGTGCAATCCGTAACAGCGTATTGCGCAAAATATTCAAAAATTTGCAGTTTTATTAATGGCTTCAATCAATGTGCAGTGATAAAAATGATTGTTTGTAAAATAGTCCATTGTATAAAGGCACAAGATGAAAGCATCGTCAACCGATACGAGCAAAAAACAATCGATAATTTGTTATCATTCTTATCACCAGATTTGTCATACGATTGGGAAGCCATTTTATTGTTGTGAACCAATTGAAGAATTCAAGAGCATCCGAAAAGTGCATAATGCGCGCCGTCGACCATCATTAACATCAACTGAAAGTTTTCAGCGCTCCTTGAGCAAAAAAATTCAATGCTGTTTTATAATCAGTTGACGAGTTCTCGAACATTAATTCAAATTATCAACTACCTTAAGATTTATTGTTTCTTCGAGTTCGCATCGTTATTTTGAAGCAAAAAAAATTGCCTGCATTACAAATTAGCAAACAGCGGTAATTTTGGCGTATCAATTAATTCATGGATCGTATTAACTCATAAATTCAACGCATATAACGGGATTCAAGTGCATCCATAGATTGGCAATCTGCTCGATAAGCAATTTATTGAATTCCTCGCAAATACGACAAATTGTTTTCCAGTTACGAACGAATAAAAAAGACATCAATGAAAAAATACTACACGAGAAGGCACCAATATAAACACACAAATACACGTTCAAGAAAATAATGACAGTGGTTCAAAAACACTGTTTACAACTTTTCATTGAGGAATATGTCACACTGTTGAATTCTGATTATTTAGTCATTAAACAAAAGCACTGCTCNCTTATACCGATTTTATGAAGCAACTCTCCCCAGATTCTTTTCTGACGTTCTAAGCGTAGAACAACAGAAATGATCAAGTGGCAAGAAAGCAAGAATAATAGAGTAGAACAGGCATCAGCGAGGTAATTACATTCCATTCACGAGGTTAATCGTACGAAAACCACTATAGAACGGAAAATATACATTACATATACGTTTATAGTACACATGGTCATCGCTCAGTAATTTCAAGTGATGAAAATTGAATGAATACATTCATTATTATACATCAGAATAGAAAAATCGAAAAAATTTGATTGATTTCAAGCGAGTGAACAAGCAAAAAATATTGACGAGGTAATACAAATGATAAAATAAATTAATTCCCGCAAAGAACAATGCGATTGAATTGCAGAGTTTGGGTGCAATTTTCCAATTTTTTTCATCTGATTCCCAATCGGCTTAGATCATAGGCTAACGAAACGTTCATAGAGATGAATTTTCGAGTGGAATCAAATGAAAATCATTCTTTAATTTGTTAAAATTATTCTTCAATTCGTATGATTCAGTATTTTATGCTCTTCAGTATCACCAGATAAAAACTTCATCACAGTGTACAGTTATTAAACTTCCTCAACAAACACATATACTAGGCAATATCAAATACATT